CATCTCCAGGTGGCGGACATGGGATGTGGAAGTTTATACAAGTGATAAGTGTCTGGCCTAGGGGTGCTTTGGGGACATGTGGCTTCACCGGAGCCAATGCTTGAATTGCTTCCATGTCTACGCTGCTGGGGAGCTCGGCTGGTTAGTGTCTTCCCGATACACCATGGTTGCAGGGGCGACCTCCAGCCAGGGCACATACAGGAAGCAGCCAATGGGAGCATAAGTGAGTGGACAACAAATCGACGCTTCTCTCTCTCTCTTCCTTTCTCTCCTCCAATCAATCATTTAAAAAAGTGCTTCCATGTCTAAGCAGAGAGAACTGCCTGCACAGTGGCTGGTCCTGGCGGGAGCAAAAGGGTCCCTGGTCGCAGGCACAGGTGTGGCTGTGGGTGTTTAAGTGGGAGCCGCCCAGGGCTGGGCAGGAACGGGGTCCCAGGACAGTCCACGCTGCACAGCGTTTGCCTGTGACTCGCAGTCTCCGCGTGGGCACCTGTGACCAGAGCTGCAGGGGGTCCCTGAGCCGGGACCCTGGGGACCCCGGAGAAGGGCAGAGCGGGTCACATCCCAGTATCTGCTAAGTTCCCTGCTGTTGGCTCTCATCATTTTTGCTGCCCCATTTTATTGATGGTCCTTAATGCTTTAGGCAACCTAAGGCTAATGTGCGGTGACGATGAGCGGAAGGAACTGCTTGCCACCCATTCCTTCACGTTTATCAAACAGCAGGAAAACACAAAGAAAACCCATGTATGTCACTCTTCTTAGGTCCTTTGCTCTTGTGATTTGTTTTGGCAACTTGCCTGACATGCCTGTGTTGTAAAGTTTCCAGGGGAATCCGTTGAGATGCTGGCTGACTTTGTGTAACGTCTTATGGAATTTTCACCCACAATCTAGGCCTAATGGTGAAGAACACATGTATTAAGTTCATGTAAGTGGAATAAAAGTTTGTGAATGAACTTTTCAAACACTTCTCTCCAGCTTTTCATGTCAATTAGTCTTTTGGTTCTGAAACTTCACTAAAGGATTTTGCACTTTTTTGGAAATTTCTTCCTTATTCCCTCTTGGCAGGTAATTGGCTTTTTACCAAGTTTAAATACAAAGTTTATCATAACAACAAAATTCTAATAACTTCTCCTGTTCCCACTCCCATCCCATAGTGCACTCTTCCCTGGCCAGGCCCCTGGGGGAGAAAGTTGTTTTTTTAAAAAATTTTTCCCCCAAAGGTGGGGGGTTGATCAGAAAAAAGTAGTGTGATCCATTTAAAATTGTAATATTAAAATCACACACACAAAATAAAAATCTTAAGAGCCCTAGCCGGTTTGGCTCAGCAAATGCTAGTATAGCTTCGGCGTGCAGACCCAAGGGTCCCGGGTTCCATTACGGTCAAGGTCATGTACCTTGGTTGCATGCTCCTCCCGGGCCCAACCCAGGTCAGGGCTCATGCAGGAGGCAACCAATTGATGTGTTTCTGTCACATTGATGTTTCTCTCTCTGTCTTTCCCTCTCTCTTCTACTCTCTCTAAAAATCAATGGAAAAATATCCTTGGGTGAGGATTAACAAATAAACAAACAAACAAATAATAAACAAACAAACAAATAAATAAATAAATAAATGAAATCGTAGTACATGGTATTTTCTGAGTTAGGAAATCCAAAATGCTCTTGGCGCACCTGACACTGGGTAGAATTCACCATTGGTTCTGTGCCTCCAGGCAGCTTTGCTTCCAAGAATTTCTTGATCCTCCCAGCCTGCCTTCAACTTTCGTTCTTTTTTCTTCCTGCTTGTCAGGTCACAGGATGCCCTCTTAGCCCTGTGCCCTGTCACAGCCGTCTTGCCTGGTGGCCCTGTGCTTGGGAAAAAAGCCACAGGATCCTTCTGGCTCCACTCTGTCTAAGGATACCCTGCACCCTTCACCATTTCCCCTTGCCCCCCCACCCCCCGGCCTATTTACTGCAGCAAATGCCTGACTAGTCAGGATTGTGTTCCCTCCCTGGGAGCTCTGCCTACCCAGCATGTCTGCCTTTGGCTGCCTTAAAAGCCTTCCTCTCCTTCTCTCCCTAAACAATGGGGCTGAGGTGTATCCAAAGCTCGCCCTGCAGACCATTTCCTCAGCACCCCCAAACCGCAAACAGAAACACCATGTAGAAGAGGTGTGTGTTTTCTTTTAGAATGTTAGCTCCTACAATCCAATTAAAACAAGGGCGAAGGACCTAAACAGTCTCTTTTCCAAAGTGGACATACAGATGGCCAAGAGACATATGAAAAAATGCTCAGGGTCACTGATTATCAGAGAGATGCAAATTAAAATGACAATGAGGTACCACCTCACACCTGTCAGAATGGCTACCATCAACAAATCAACAAATGACAAGAAGCTGGCGAGGATGTGGAGAAAAGGGAACCCTCTTACACTGCTGGTGGGAATGCAGATTGGTGCAGCCACTGTTTAAAACAGTATGGAGTTTCCTCAAAAAAAAAAAAAATTGGAACTGCCATCTGACCTAGTGATCCCACTTCTGGGAATATATCCCAAGAAACCCGAATCACCAATCAGAAAGAATGTATGCACGCCTATGTTCATAGCAGCACAATTTACAATAGCTGAGATCTGGAAACAGCCCAAGTGCCCATCAGTAGATGAGTGGATAAAAAAGCTGTGGTACATTTACACCATGGAATACTATGCAGCAGTAAAAGGAAGAATCTCTTACCCTTTGAGACAGCATGGAGGGACCTGGAGAGTACATGCTGAGTGAAATAAGCCAGTCAGAGAAAGACAAGTATCCCATGATCTCACTCCGACATGGAATCTAAGTAACAAGATAAACTGATTAACAGAGTGGATCCAGAGATATGGGAGCATGGAGCAGAGTGTGGAATCTCAGAGGGAAGGCGGGGGATAGAGGGTGGGTGGGGCTAATCAACCAAAGAACTTGAATGCATATATGCAGGACCTGAGGACATGCATGTCACAGCTTTGGGGATATTAAAGTGTGGAAACACATGTGCATCACAGATGAAATATAGCCAGAGTCCAGGTGGGCAGCCCCCTCTCTAAGCCAGGGTCCCCTGGCCCACAGCTTCCCTGGGAAGGAAGGATGAGGGTTCACCAGGACCCAGAGGCCTCCGCTCGCACTCGTGCCAGGTGTCTGTGTGAGCAGAGGAGAGGGCGCTGTCACCAGAGGACTGGGGGAGCAAGAAGGGGAGGGTACTCTGTCAGTAGAACGTGGAAAGCCACTGCCACCCACAGAGCCTGCAGGTAACAAAGCCACAGCCCAGCACTGCCTGTCAGCCCCTGGCCACTGACCTGGGTCACAGAGGCTTGGGATCGGAGTGGCCTTTCCTAACCCCTCCCCACTCCTCAGCTCCCTGTGTTCAGAGATGGACTCACCAAGGAATGGAGGGCGAGAAGGAGCGGGAGAGGGAGAGAGGGTGTGGAGGGTCCAGAGACCCAGGCAGGGAGGTGGGATGATGTGGGAGCGTCCACGAGGCCCAGGGCCCAGGAGAACCCAATGGAAGAGAATGGCTGCAGCCCAGGGACTCAGGGAGCCTGCAAGGCAGGGGAGCTGGGCATCTGTGCCAGGGCTGCCCACAGACCTTTTCACCCTCCCAGGGGGGGAGTGCCGGCCATTGACAGATCTGAGGAGAGCCTGTCTCCCCTGTGAGTGCTCTTGGTTGAAGGGAACCTCCGCTCTAAAGGTCACCCCATTTCCTGGGGCAGCCTGCATCCAGTGACCAGGAAGTGCACAGCATAAAAGACACTCCTGTCCCCCACCTGTGGGACCTGGTGCAGGGGCTGGGCATGGAGCCCAGGTAGTGGGGCCGGGACATTTGACAGGTGACACAGCTGCTGGGGGACCCACGTTTACAGGCCCCCTTCCGATATGCAGGGAAAAGCATATCTGAACTCCAGAAAAGGCCGGGTTCACACCCTGTAGGTCTGCATCTGACTGCATGTGTGCGAACAAGGATGCATGTTGCATATCCATGGTTGTGCACGGAGATCTGAGAAGACTTATGTGTGCTTACACCTGGGATGTGACATGTGGTTATGAGTGTGCATGGATGACTGTGCATGGAGGCGTGAGTGTGTGCATACAGGCCCCCATGTTCACCAGTGAGCCTGTGTGAGAGTTCAGACAGCTTACAGAGGCAACTCCCGCTATGCCCTCTCCCTCGCCAGTTCCAGGCTCTCCCTCACCTCAGATCCTCTCCTAAGCTGTTAAAACAGCTCCTTCTCCTCACATCTCAGCCTCTGCCAGGAAGCCTTCCTTGGTGAAGCCAACACAAATTCCAAGTGTTCTGTTTTAAAAATATATATTTTTATTGATTTCAGAGAGAAGGGTGAGGGAGAGAGAGATAGAAAGTTCAATGATGAGAGAGAATCACTGATCGGCTGCCTCCTGCACGCCACACACAGGGGGT